CAGAGATGTGTATAAGAGACAGGGATAACTCGTTTTTGGTTTTTGAACTTCAAAAACGAGTTACCCAGGCCAAACGGCTGGAGATAGAGGCATGGCGAAGAGGACCTTTCCTGTTCCTCTCGTCGAGTTCTATAGGGAAAAAATACGAGAGATATTGAAACCTTAGTTGTAAGACTTTACGAGAACAAAATAATTATTTTTTAGGTCGGAATATGGCATTTTTTTCTTATAAAACTCGGTGAGAGAAAGAGAAAAGGTCCTCTGCACCATGCCTCTATCTCCAGCCGTTTAGCCTATGTAACCATTATTTTTCAGAGATTTTTTCGCTTTTTCTTATGTCCTTTTCTTTTTATTTTAGAGTAATTCTCCCGCGCGTGATTCGCAATTACAACGTTGATATGTCGGACCGTCCTCCCTCAATCCACGGGTTACGAGCTCGCGTGCTCGACGTCAATGACGAGGCTAGCTGTAACGGTCTTATTTGCAATTCCGATATCGATTCGGTTGTCATCTGTTCGCGATCCATGGAGCCGTTTCGATGCAGCTACATGTCGAAGATATATACAAGACCTACCAAAATATCCAAGACAGAAAACGCTAAATTGACTCGCTACATAGAAAAGAGAGCATCGTTTGGCTTGCGACACGAGCCAAAATTTATACATGGCAACGGTGGCGAAAGCGCGAGCTCCAACAGTCAATGGTACGAGTTTTCAATAGGGACCATCGACGATCGCCCGATATCAGTTCTAGTGCAACTAGACCTGAATAGCGACATTTACAATGATGTGCCGGTAAGAGGCAACGACGAAGAGGACGGTCGCTTGCGCACTATGTGCTCCGCCTTTATGTTTAACATAATTCACGCTGCAGCAACTGATTTACCCGTTAATTCAGAAACGGCAAAAACGGGCCTGAAATATCTGATGTACGACGTCGATCGGTCGTATACTATATTTCAGCAAGATTTTGCTACTTTCGCGAGACGCGTCTCTAAGAGATTGCGAGAAATTGATCTGTCCGCCATGTGCGGAATATCCTTTGCGCGATTTTATGTGTTCTCACATGGAATGCGCCTGAGAAAGAACACAGCCAAAACCTACCTGGACAACATAATAAAGGTCCAACACGATCATATGGATGTCCTACAGATCCACCGTGCGGACAGTCTGACATTGACCGATGGCTCCGACGACGCAATTGCTATTAAATTGAGTGGCTACGGCAACAATTCTTTAGACTCCTTTCTCACGAATGCGATAAAACTAAAGAGCAAAAAAATCGATTGTTACAGAACGGGATTTCTGGCACATTTTGGCTACTTCGCCAGCTACGCCAGCCCTCAGATAAGTGATAACATCGTCACTCACATACAAGTTTATAATTCGGCTGCGAAAATGGCCCGAGTTGGCGATTCAGGCCTCCTGCCCGCGTTCTCTATCTGTCGTGGATACAGAGACACCTACGACAAACGATTTCGAGATATTGCATCCGAAACGAAACAATATGTGCGCGACTTAGTACAGTATTACGACAAATATGTCAAGCAGCGACAGACAGCTCGATTTGAGGAGGTATTAACATTTGACGTGCTTAGACTCGACAATTGTTCTATTTCCGCAGCTCTCGCGCGATATCGCGTCTTTGATACTTCGGCGATTGGTATCGTGATCAAGCACTTACTAAGACGCAAACTTGTGTACCGCCTACAAAATTGGAATATCCACTGCGATACGCACATCCATGAAGACATTAGCTGGCTGCGACATATCATTACGGCCAGGCGTCTATTAGATACTATGCCATGGGTCGTGCCTCCAATCGTGTCGCAACTCATTCGCGCGGAATTTAGGGTCA